CTAAATACCTCCATGAAGTGTTTGCCGAAGCTGCCCATGAAGAAAAAATTGATTGGCGATTTAACCCCCCTGCTGGACCTCACTTTGGAGGATTATGGGAAGCTGGTATCCAAAGTGTCAAATTTCATCTGGTCCGTCTTATCGGTGACCAAATCCTCTCGTACGAGGAACTGTACACAGTGCTCACCCAAGTCGAAGCGGTCTTGAATTCCCGTCCGCTTTCTGCGTTAAGTACGGATCCCAATGACCTCTCGAGTTTGACCCCGGGTCATTTTTTAACTCTGGCTCCATTATCTACTATCCCTGATCCCGATTTGTCCGCCATAAGCTTAAATCGTTTGAGTAGATGGCCTACTACTACTTCAACATTTTCACCAACAATTCTGGAAACGTTGGCACCGCGAGTACTTACATACTCTGCAACAGCGCAACAAATGGTTTCATACTAATCCAAGCCCAATTAAGGTTGGAACTTTAGTAGTCCTAAGAGATGAACTCACTTCACCCCTCAAATGGCGACTTGGACGCATAACTGAAACTCATCCTGGTCCTGACGGTATTATCCGGGTTGTAACCCTTAAGACAACCCATGGAGTTCTTAAACGGCCGGTTAATAAAGTGTCTATGTTGCCATCCCAATAGGTAACTTAGATGATATTGTATATAGATAAATACCTACCTATATCTCTATTTTTGTAGAGGTATATACATATATATATATATATATATATATATATATATATATATATATATATATATATATATATATATATATATATAACAAAGGATAAGTTAATAGATGAGATTCCCCAAAATGCTAGAGGTAGCCAAAGTAAAACGATGTAATGTGCTACTAAGTGTCTGTTTATTCAAATATCAAGCTTTCGTCTACCATTGCAGACTTCATCAGGACGCTAAAAATAACAATGAAAACTCCTTACTAAGAGACAAGATTAACCCTTTACTTGGAGGCAGAAGGCCCAATAAACTTACTTGAAACTTCAAGACAGCTCTATTGCAATAATAACCACTATATAATAGATAAATGCATAATGCACTTTCGAGAAAGTGCATTATGCATTTATCTAGCATTTTGGGGAATCTCATCTATTAACTTATCCTTTGTTGTTACCAGTACCCCGTTACTGTCCTCCTCTTATATATATATATATATATATATATATATATATATATATATATATATATATATTTACAGAGTATCTAGTTAATTTTATTTTAATTTTAATTTAACAAAAGAATTTTTTATTTTTTTTTTGTTTTTGTTCTTGGGACTCTATAGTGCCAAATTGGCTTGAAAAAAGAAACAAGAAAAAAAACACTTGCATGTTTTTGGTGGGCGGTAATGTTTCGTCTTTATTCTAAATAAATTTTATACAATTTGGCAAAGGTGCAAAATTCCTGTTTGCTCGCATTTTTTTGTTTTTTTTCGCGCAAAAAAAGTCGTACCTCTAGATTTTGATAGTGGGCGTACCAGAAGCGAGTAATTTGACAGACTTGCTAAGAAACTCGATGAGACGACACGGGCGCGTCGTCGTACGGCTTAACCCGGTCGCAATATTTCTAATCTCAAAACTTCATTGTGAAGTCCTCTCGTATCAACCTTCTACAAAGTTACATAACCCGTAATTGGGAACACCATAATCCGCAGCGCGTGTGTAAAGCAGGGTCCCTGCAGGAGTGCACTTATGGAATCATTGGGTAAGTCCTTTTTATCATTATTTAGAGGTTGCGCCGCAAAGTAAATACAGTCCACTACCAGCTAAGACATTACGTATTAGCTACCCGCAAAACAATGACAAAATGTATAGCAGCAGATTCTCTTCTTCTTCTTCTTCTCAGCCCGTGCTTATCCACTCCTGGATGTCGGCCTCTTCCAAATATCTCCACGCTCTTCTGTCTCTGGCAGTCCTGATCCAATTCCTTCCTGCAATATTCTGAGGAGAGGCATATTCTTCTTGTGATTGCAGAAGATTGATTTTCTTTGCCAAGCTGAATTTTGTGGCCTAAGTAGATATATTTCGAGACAACTTCTTGGGGTTGATCGTTAACAGTTACCTGGGATGTTTTCGCTACTCATGATCTTTGTTTTGTTTAAGTTCATTTCAAGTCCAATTTGTAGCGACGCTCGGTGGAGCTCCTGAAGCATGTTTTTAAACTCTTCACCTGTGTTGGCAATGACCACAATATCGTCGGCAAATCGTAAATGGTTAAGACGCACTCCATCAATATTAATCCCGTTCTCTTGCCAGTCAAGTTTTTTAAGATATCCTCCAATGCAAGTCGGTTTTTAAATCATCATCTATTTTTACATGAATGGCAGCTTTATTATAGATTTGTTTGATGAGGCGTGAGTATCTAGAGACGATCCTTGCGTTGTCCAGAATTACCCAAGTTTCGACAGAGTCAAAAGCCTTCTGGTCGTCGACAACGGCCAAATGGACTGTTATATTATACTCTGTGGCTTTTTCAATAAGAGTACGAAGTGTCTGTAGGTGGTCGATAGTACTAAAACCCTTACGGAATCCCGCTTGTTCCACTCGTTGGTATAAGTCCATCTTGTTCGTCAACCGGTTGGTTATTATTTTCGTAAACAGTTCATAGGTACCGGGTGTCCCACTGAAAACTGTCAATGGCCTATATCTTGAAAACGGTAATCGATAAAAAATAAATAAAAAACTCGTTTAGAGGGTTGGAAGAGGCAACCAAAACAACGTACTTTTCAGGTCTCCCTGAATCACCCCTCCGGCCGTAGCTACCCTAACCTCAAAATCTTAAATGGCACTATGATTCATGTGATACCTTGTTTAAAAGGTTTTTTAATTCTCTAAACGAATCTGCAAAAAAAAAATATCTAGATACAAATTTAAATTGTCACAAAATGGCGCATGCTTCGAGTTAACGACTTTGCTCTCTTGAGGAGGTGAACACTGTCAGGTACAGTGAGGGGAGAGGGGTTCAAAAAAATAAAATCTTGATGATTTCTTTAAAAATATTCATGCTGTCATCCAATTTATATAAAATCGATTTTAATTCACATTTACCTGTTCCACCCGATCAAATGAGGTTTTCATCAAAATGAGAGTCACATTCAAATCTGGATTATTTTTTTTTGGGATCCATTAAGAGAATTGAAAGACCTTTAAAACAACGTATCACATGACCCATAGTGCCATTTAAGATTTTGAGGTTAGGGTAGCTAAGGCCGTAGGGGTGATTCAGAGAGACCGGAAAAGTACCTTGTTTTGGTTCCCCTTTCCAACCCTCCAAACAGGTTTTTCATTTTTTCTTTATCGATTACCGTTTTCAAGATATAGACCATTGACAGTTTTCGGTGGGACACCCGGTATAAGTGTGATAATAAGTTGATGGTCGATAATCATCTATGTTGTTTCTGTCTCCTTTATTGTATAATAGGATGACCTCTGCATTTTGCCACTTATTTGGGATTTCACCTTCTGTTAAACATTCATTTAGCAATAATCTTACATGCTCTATCAGCGTTTAACCTCCTATTTTAATCATTTCGCTTGTGATTTGATCTTCGCCTGGAATCTTTCTGTTTTTCACTTGATGTAGTGCTGTCTCCAATTCTCCGATATTTATTTCAGGGACCTCTACGAATCCTACATTTTGTAATATTTTCCTCTGATATTGACGGCCCTGGGACTCCAGAACTGTACAGGTCCTTGTAGAAGTCTTGAACTGCAGTCATGATTTCACTACGATCGCTAACCAAAATACCCTGCTTGTTTTTTACTTTAGTCATTTTTGACCTACCATTTGATAGTTTGGATCTTAGAACTTTCATGCTTTTATTGTCTAGATTGTGTTAGCTCATTGTTATGGTTTCTGAATTTTTTTTTGATGTTCCTATTTGATTTTTTGTTAAGATTCTTATATCCTTGGTTTTCTCGATCCATTTCTTTTCTTGATTTCTTTAGATTTTTTGTGTGTAAGCTGATTTTTTCCTGGTGTGGGTGTTCGCGGTTCACCTAGTTTAGAATTTAAAATACGTTCAAAAGTAGCTTTGTTCCGTACACTCGACGTACACTCTTTGATGATCTATTTTCGTATTCTTCAGACCTCAGTTAAGAGTCATCAGAACATCTTTGGTGTCTGCCAAATGCAAAGTCGGTTCCGTTAAGATTCGGTTTATTCTTAAGCTTGAATCAATGGCCGCAGTCCCACTTTTCAACCTTGTAGAAGCTGTGCAAGGTGAGTATACGCTGAAAGATCATTTTTGATTACTTCTACTCTCCAAACAGATAGAAAACATTCATTGACATTATTGTCAAACCAGTTAATCAAGGAGTATCTGTATATGGCACGATTTCGTCTTGGTGCAACTACAGATAATCCTGCAGATTGCGTAAGTTGTGGAATTTTTCCCGCGCAATTTAGGCTACCATCTGTTATGTATGGGGTGTAGAGCATCAAATACAACAACACGAAAGGTTAATACTCTATTTTTTGGAGGTGCTTTCTTGACTGTTTCCGAACTTGTGAGTGAGTCAGGTTGAAATCAACGATCAAATCAACCTGACTGACTCACAAGAAATCCTTCAAAACTTATAACTCTATTGTTACTAGGTACCTGAAAACAAGATTGGGCTCTATAGACATAGACCTTGAATACTAAAATATAAAATAGCAACTATATGGATGGAAGGACTGTCTATTTATGCATGTTACAGATGCAACAACAACAAAAGAATTATGGACAAAGCTTCAAAAGCTTTTTGACGTCACAGGTATTTGTCGGAAAATCGGTTCGGATCCGTAGAATAAGGTTTATAGTGGGGATGGTGTAGAATGAACTCTCCCATATTCTATTATCTGTTTGTATAGTGTAGCCATTTCTATTCTAGGTGCACATAAAAAAAAAATCTTAACACGTTGACGCGCATTAAAAAAATATATAAATAATAATTGCTATTGGAAAATATGTAACAAACCCATTTGCAAAGAATGATTCTTACCGACATAGCTTGTCCCAATCGTGAATCTTGTCCAATTCGCAACAACAGGAAATTGAATCCTCTTATAGCCGGTAACCAAGGATAATGCGAAGTATCGTTTTTCAAAAAATCAATAATCGAAAACACTTTGGTATAATTGAGCATATTAGCTCTTGCCAGATGGAACGAATCGTCCACAAACGCGGCTCTGTTCACTTCAGGGATTCCCGAAAAGTTACCGTCTTGTAGGGCGACAATTAAACTGTCCCAGAGATTGTTGTAATTGACCCTGTAGTAACTAGTGGCGTGATTATTGAGGACAATCCATCGAGCAGTCAAAAACGGTATGTTTAAAAAGCCAACGGGTTCCAACCATTCTTTTGCTGCAGTATCTTCGAAGGTAGGATTTTCATTGGTGGCATAAGAAATTGGAATGTACCAAGCTGCTGAATCATTAGAGCCGTTTAGTAAAAATCTTCCCTGGAAATCATTAAATTACAAATCAAATATACAAAAATTAAATTGTTATAATTACATTTTGCGAAACAATGACTTCGTATTGGTTATTTTGCACATCAATAATCGGATATCCAGGGGTTTCGACCCAATTACGCATGACAGTGCTTAAAGTTACGCCAGCGGGCAATCTGGATCGGTTTGCATCTATCAATTGAGCATCCAGACTGTTCCATAAGTCATCTGGCACGGCGGTACTAAATGCGCTGAAAGACTGTTTTAAAAAATCGCTGGAAATTGCTTTTGAAGATAACTCACTAGGTGGAAAGGTAGGCTCGTAGGCCTTGGAAGAATAGATCAGTGCCCAGAATGTGTTCGACCATTCTGAAGATACTTCCACCTTAAAATTTGCCTATTTGAAAATGAAGTTTACACAAACATAAGGTTACAATTTAAGGAGGAATTGCATATTGTAGCTAAGGTCTTGAAGCTGTAAACTAACTTCCCTGGCACTTTTAAAGAATTTTTAAAGAAAAATCCGCATCCTATACTGACCTTTGTGATATGAAATTGAGTTAAACCTAGCCATAACCTGAGCATCGCTATTAACCGCAGTTTGCAAAGCTTGTGAGGTTGACAACGAATCTGCCTCCATAACATTTTGCATAACACGAACAACCCATTGTTTGTCCAATTGCCAATCGGGGAAAACCTTGAAATTGATTATTATGTGACGCTCTAATAACTTATTCTAAGTACTTACGTCATGTGTAGTAAAATATTCAAAATAAGTTGCAAATCCTTCGTTTAAGAACAACTCTGACCACCAGTTGCACGTTACCAAATTACCCCACCATTGGTGAGCATATTCGTGGGAAATGACAGTTGCTATGTTTTGTTGGTCTCTATTTGTTGATTGTGCAGAGTCCCATAATAGCAAAGTTTCCCTTAAAGTACAAATCAATATAATTACTCTAGGAAACATAATATAATTTCTAGTTTAGAATAAGAAACTTATTCATTCATGGTCTTTGAAGCTACTTTTTATTTATTCATAGTTAGATAAATAGTTCGTGTTTCGAATGCTCACCTATAAGTGACCAAGCCCCAATTCTCCATAGCACCAGCTGCAAAATCTGGTAAAGCAATTTGGTCCATTTTTGGAAATCCCATTGTACTATAACTGAAACAAACAAAAAAAAATTAATCAAAACTAGGCTTTGCAACATCACTCAACATACGCATAGCCAGTAAGTGTGTTCAAACTTCTTAACAAAGGCACTCCAGAATTAACAGCAAAAGCTCTAGTTAAATTGGTTTCAGCTCGGGAACATACCCTATAAGGAACCGCATTCTGTTCAATATTTTCCCCTTGAGTACAAGTAAAATCTGAGACTATAAATGCAACCAGATAAGTAGGCATCAAGTTGGTCGGTGCAAAATATGTAGTATTCAAATTACTGAAACAATTACAAAATTAAAAATACCTACGCACACTAAAAACCAATTCCTTACGGATCATCATCTATAATATCTGTAGTATCGTACTCTTGTTCGGGCATATTTGATAAAGCATGCAATCTTGCAGGATGTGTTATGTAAATTTCAAATGTAGCCTTGAATGAGGGTTCGTCGAAGCAAGGGAAGGCCCTTCTGGCGTAATTGGGTTGAAACTGAGTGGTTGCCAGGTATCTGACGGCGTTGTTGGATGTATAGCTGCTTTTGTAGAATCCGTACATGTCTTGGGTGCTTAGTCTGAAAAGTGTATGTTTTTTAATGAATGCAAAAAGTGATTTTGGTTATGGTTACCCAGTTACTCAGTGTAAGTAGGAGGCCTACATGTACATTGAAAGGAAAAAATTTGTCTTTTGACTACAAATGGTAGAATATCGTCATCATATTCATCATGGTGAATATTTAATATTTCTTTGAAGGCACTTCGCTAATTTGACCGAGAAAGTTTGCACTTGCCAACAAACGATACCATTGGCGCCGGAACTTCAAAATTAATATGGGGGCTCGGGCTCCAAAAATTAACATAAGTAGAATTAATTATATAGACAGGACTAGGCTTAGACACAGGCTTAAATAGGACCAGTATTATTGGCATAGCCAGGATTTTGTATTGAGCTGAGGGGTCAAATTTACAGGAAGTAATCCTTGCAGCTCCGCCGCGAAGCGCCGCAGGTGCGAAATTTTTGGGTCTTTTACGGTATTTTTGTAACTTCTAATGGTAGGAGCATGCGGGATTGCGGCCTTTTGAACATAAATTTTGATAAGAATTTATAGTAGAAGGTTACTTAGGTACCTATATTATAATATGTATATGTATGTATTTGATTATTCACCTAGGACTTGAATTGATTTTTTTTGTTTATTTTAATTTTGAATTACTAATATTTAAAGGCCGTTTGGGGAAGGTGGGAAAATGCTTTTTTGCCCCCCTCCTTGCCAACGCCAGGGGGCAACACCTAGTCGATTCGCCTCTACCGGGTACAGGCTAATTCGTCTTATTACTCCCTATGTGTATAGTCGGTTGGTCCGATCTTTATATAAATTTTCCATGATGAACTAGGTAAAAAAGCCAGTGATGTGATGTAAACATACCTATCATGAAAAAATCGGAAAGGAAATAATAATCCAACGACTTATTGAAGATACAGGTTTAAATACTACACAACAAAATATTCTAACTGTTTGTTGAAGTAGGTATAACAAAAACATAGAACACAAGTTTGATATAAAAATAACCAGAATCACTATGGGGGCTCAAGCCCCCATTGCCCCCATGATTCCGGCGCCTATGAACGGTACTGATGGAGGAAGCTCAATATCATGGCTCAATATCATATCCTATAGCTATGTTATCTCAAAAACTTTTGAAATCACTTTTTGAAAAAAACACTTAATTTATTTCAAAATACAGATTACAATAAAAATGGACATTAACTCAACTATACTTAATAATGACGAATAATGACGCGTAACTAAAGAGACAGGAACTTTTATACAGGGTGTCCTTAAATAAACTGACACATTTTGCAGGTCACCGGTTTCCTTATAGATAAAGTGGCACATTTTGAAGGTAAATATCTCGAAAACGAGAAAAGATAACGAGATGCGGTTTGTTCTGGGAGAATAAGGATATTTTAGGGTTTATTTCACAGTATTGCCGAATCCTAAAATTTGCTGAAATTTGATTTTACAGACATGCGATTGTTTAAAATCGGCAATAGTGTGAAAAAAAAATTTTAAAAATCCTTATTCTTCCAGAACAAACCGCATCTCGTTATCGTTTCTCGTTTACGAGATATTTTTCTGCAAAATGTGTCAGTTTATCTGAGGACAACCTGTATTTTAAAACATGTTGAGCTTGCTGTTTCTATGCGAGCGTTGCGACGATGGAGCGGTTCTTGGCATGACATGTTCAGACAGGATAACTTGCTGAAGTAGCGTCTAGACTTTGCGATACTTTGTACCACCGTGGTGATGAGACTCATCTTGAGGTCAATGTAGTCGTAAAATTCATATAACAGCTCCCCATTAAGTAAAAAGTTGGTGCTTTGCAACAATTTTTTCAAAAACCAACTGGGTTGTTGTGTAGACTGGTCATCTCTTGTTCTGAGGGTAGATTTGGATGAACAGTGTTTCTTCGTTTCGGTAAAAGCTTTTTAAGGTTGTTGCCTCTTTGAAGACGTGAATGAGACTTTGGCGGTTATGGTTCGTCTTCGTCAATAGGGCTAGGTTTGGGAGGTGCCTTTCGCCGACACTCTTAAATGTTAATGATTACAAGGGCTGCTATTAGTACGATGATGAAGGAGGTGAACCATTGACTGTGTCTTGATACGAATGGTTCTTGAATTAGTTTATCCAGTTCATCGGAAAATAGGTTTAGTCTATGCTGTGCCACGTTTAGATCATCGATGTTGATTTAGATAGTTTGAGAGGTTTCAACTCTGGCACATGAAGATCCACCGGCAGGTGTTTGCAGCAACCATAGGGAATTTCCACTGGATGGCTTTTATAGGTGACGTTTCTGTATTTTTCCGCTAGATTCCTAGCATGAATTCTGGAGTTTCCCACAAAGGCATCGCAGGTTGGTTGGAGCTTGAGCACTGTGTTGGTGTTGATTGTTTCTGTCACACTGTTTTTGCCATCACATCTGATAGTGATTGGAAGGACGATGATAATGTTATGAGCCAGTAGTTTGTGTCTAGTTCTTGCACATTGTAGTCACTAGCGAGTAAGATTGAGGTTTGGCAAGTCTTGGGAAGTGTCCTTGTTAACTTCAGGAGTTGGGCTTCGTAAATGGCATCGCTGTCTGTAGGGTATTGTAAAAGGTCAGAACATATCCTTGTGTTATTATCAAGAGGTTTGCAGTGATCCATGCTTTGGAGTAATATGTACCATCGCTACCAAAAGTAACTGGGACAGCATCATGTACTATTATATGAATTTTATTGTCAAATATTTGTCAAACTATGAATTAAATGCATTGAAATGAATGACGGTAGAATTAGTCCAGGAGATTATTATGCATTGTTTTTGTCCCAGATACTTTTAGTGACGATGGTACAATAAAGAATCGTCATCCCTCGCGTTATATTTTTGAGTTATTGGTTATTGGTAAAATATGATGAAAACCTGTTCGATTATCCAAAATCGGGATAGGGTAGATGTGATAAAGAGTGTATATCTCAGGTTTGATAACCGGTATTCTAAGAATAAAGACAATTTGGCCTTCTGATTGATAAGCTTCTAATGGTCGGTTGAAACCCAACCATCGGTTCAGTGTTTTATATGTTTCTTCATCGATTTGGAGTTCCTGAATAGTAGAATTAAATTTTTTTCTTGCTGAAGTCGTTACAGAAATTTGCTTTTTAAGTAAACTTTCAAGTTCTCGTTCGTTTGTATCAATTTTGTCAATACATATTGAAGTATTCATCATCGGTAGAGTCTAAGTTTCCGGTGATTGATTTAAAGATACTTCCTATTCCGTTAATTAGTCCACGTTTGTTTCTATAGTTTGTGTCGCCAGTGATTCCATTAAGTTTCTGGTCGACTCAATCAGCAACTTGAGTTACTTAAAAGGCTGAAATAAGTTTGAACTTCAACTTTGAAGGCTGTCATTCGAGGAGAAGGATCCTCAATTATTTTGGTCAGGCTAGTATTTTTATTGTTCTGGATAGTTTCTCTGAATGATTCTATTTCTTTGTAAACTAAATGGATCCATTTCTCATTTGAGACTCTAAGACTACCTTCTTCGTGATAGAATATCCCAACTGTGTTGTTAATTGGAGTTAGACGAAATTGAAGGGTGACGAATGGAATCAACCCAACGAGTCTGGGAAAGAATAGACTAGTAAGTAGTAATAGAACGGCTTTAGTCTATCAAAGTTAAATTTCGAAAATTGATTTGTTTTGAAGTTTCTCACTTTCGCTGAGTTTATGTAAACTTCAATTATTTCGAAAGGTCCGTTAAAAAGATTTTGAGCTTTGTCTTTTATTTGAGTTTCTTTGACATACACCTTGTCAGCTGGAAGATTTTGTGAGACCGTCTTGTCGAACCTTACTTTCCACTTTTCTTTCTGGATATCGGTTCTGGCTCGAGTCATTCTATAATAATATTCCATTCTGTTGTTGAGGTCTTGTATGTATTTGGAGATTAGCTGTTTTTGATTATAAAGAGTCTCAGGGGGTCTATTCGACGTATGGCCAAAGATTAATTCGAAAGGTGTAAATCCGTGTGTCTTATTTTTGGTATTATTATAACAGATAACTGCGTACGGGAAAATGTTGAATGGGTGTTCATCTGGATGTTTCGCTTTATGAACATCCTTTGGATTGTGGGTGGCTTACGCTTGAAAATGTCAATTTTATGTCGTAGGGTTGACAGAGGTCTTTGAGTAAGGCGTTGTTGAATTCACCTCCACAATCAGAATGCATTCTCAAAGGTATAGGTACCGTTGTTCATCCAACTTTGTTATTTTATATATTCATTCAAAAATTACAAAAGAAAAAACCGTTAAATGCCATACAAGTTCAAATCAAAATTGGCACCGCTCGCGCAGACTCGGCGTATGTGAAAAATATGTGATTTATGAGAAGGAAGCAGGAAGCAGTACGAAGCCGTGTCTCTAAAACCACGTCCGCTTTTTCGGTCGTTATCAAAAATCAAAAAACCTATCGAATTCAAGGCAAAAATTCCTTATTATTATTTCTAAGACTGTGTTGTATCGGTGTGTCGCTGAGAAGCAGACTTTCTGGACACGAGGAGCTCCTCTGGATCGACGAAAACCAGCATAAACCAAGTAAGTGCCAATCCTCCATTGTCTTTGTATGGCTCGGGTTTATGTCCATTAATATTTGTGCGGCAAAATTGAATTTAGCGCCTACAGTCCCGCTGCTCTATAAACTTTCGAAAATCATAACGCAAATTTTCGTGAACAACCGTAATGTTGGAATAATACTAGTAGGGTGACAATTGTGTACGCCTTTTTGTCTGAGATTGGGTAGGCTTGAGTGAATTTGGTAAGTGCATCCCTAACTGTTAGGGCGTATTTATGAACTGGGAATTCAGAAAGTTCAATGTTTATCCTTTCAAATGGAGTTTTGGGAGTTTCAGTGATAACGAGAGGAGAACTAAGATTTTTCCTACAGATTTTGACTTTTTGGCAGATTTCACAGGCTCTGATGAATTTCTCAACATCTTTGGTTAAACCTTGCCAGGAGTATTTGTCTATAATCCTTCTAAC